TATATTGGCGATCCGTCTCATGTTTTGGATTTCATCACGGTTCAGTTAGACGATAATTTTACTTATGATGTGGAGCTAGTGGCTATTTTGGGGCATCAGGTTCGAAAGTTGAGATCAAAGGATATAGCTTCAGTGAAAGTGCAGTGGAGAGGCCGGCCCGTGGAGGAGGCAACCTGGGAGACTGAGCGGGAGATGCGAAGCAGATATCCTCACCTATTTGAGGCTTCAAGTATGTTTCTTGACTCGTTCGAGGACGAACGTTTGTTTAAGAGGAGGAGGATATAATGACCCGGCCGGTCGTTTCATGAGTTACAGCCTCGTTTTCCCTATTTCTACTTCTTTATGTGTTATTCAACTACATTTCATCGTATCATGTTGGTTGGTTCGGGTTTGGAGTAGTATTGGAGTAATATGAGACACTTAGGGTATGTTTGGTATGAAGGAAAACATTTTTCGGAAAATATTTTCCAATTTTTCCATGTTCGGTTGGCTTAAATGTTTTGGAAAATATTTTCCTTATGAACTCATTTTCCTCCAATTGAAGGAAAATATTTTACTTATCAAGATAAGGGAAAACATTTTCCAAAACTCCTTCTCAACCTTCCCCACCCCACCCCCTCTCTCCAAAAAANGTTCAAAATTTTACAAGTTCACAAGTTCATGTGATTGGAAGTTTACGGGTTTAGAAATTATAAAGTTTACGGGTTCAAAATTCCGCAGTTTCGAAAGTTTAGCGGTTCAAAAGTTTATGAAATTTGTGGGTTCGGAAGGTGGTTGGTTTGAAATTTTATGGCTTCATGTTTATTATATCTAAATTATTTATGAATACTCTTGAGAAGTCATTTTCCTTATTTTGCGTACCAAACACCGAAAATGAATAAGATTACTACTTGTTTTCCAAGATTTTCCACGGAAAACATTTTCCATTATACCAAACACACCCTTAGTCTCTTAAGTTGGCCATTTAGTTGGAAAAGTCAATCGGAAGTTGAATTGTGGGTAAATGATCTCGGAATTTGGTTTTTATGGTACGGATAGCTTCATTAGGTGATTGGGGACTTAGGAGCATGATCGGAATGTAATTTGGAGGTCCGTGGTAGATTTATGCTTGAATTGGCGAAATTGGATTTTGGCGTTTTCCGGTTGGTAGTGGAAATTTTGATATCAGGGTCAGAATGGAATTCCAATTTGAGTAGGTCCGCTATGTCATTTGTGATGTGTGTGCAAAATTTCAGGTCTTTCGGATAAGGTTTGATAGGCTTTTTGATCGTTTGCGGAATTCGGAAGTTTTAGAATTCTTTGGCTTGAATCCGAGGGTGTTTTGATGTTTCGATATTGTTTTGAGTGTTCCGAGGGTTGGTATGAGTTTGAATGATGATATGTGACTTGTTCGTATTTTTGATTGAGGTCCCGGGGGCCTCGGGATGAATCTGGAAGATTTTCGAAAAGTTTGGTTTTGAAATTGAGCAGCTTCAGCTGCTGCTCGTGTCATAACCGCACCTGCGGATTAGGGACCGCAGGTGCGAGACCGCAGAAGAGTTAGAGCAGCCACAGATGCGACCATAAGCGAGAGGGCCAGAAGTCGCAGGTGCGGAAGATGGAACGCACATGCGAGACTGCATGTGCGGGTAGGGAGGCACAAGTGCGGTTTAAGGGAAATAAGTGAAAACCGCATATGTGGTTGGTTAGACCGCAGAAGCAGTATCGCAGGTGCAGAATCTCTGGGCCAGAAAGTATATAAGCTTCCCATTGCCAATTTTTTCCCATTTCCACCATTTTTTAGACGGGCTTGAAGCTTTTTGAGAGAATATGAAGAGGGATTCGAGGGGTAAAGCTTGGAGGTACGGTTTTTGAACTCAATACTCAATTCTACGGTGATTTCTAACTTATTAGACATGAAATTAGTGGAAGTTTAAGGGTTAAAATTGGAGAATTAGGGCTTTAAATTGGAGTGTTTAAATTGGGGATTTGAGGGGTTATTTGAGGTCCGATTTTGATGTTCTTGGTATGTATGGACTCGTGGGAGGATAAGAATTCTAGTGATGTGATTTTTATTAGATTACAAGACGTGGGCCCGGGGGTCGGGTTTGACCAATTTCGGGATTTTTTATGTAATTTGATTATTTTCGCGTGGGCTTTATTTCCTTAGCATATATTGATGTTATGATTATTTTTTTTTGGATAGAATCGGGAGATTTGAGGCAGAGTCGACTGGCAAAGGCATCGCGAAGTAGATTTTCATCCGATTCGAGGTAAGTAACGATTGTAAATCTGGACCTGAGGGTATGAAACCCCGGAATTTTGTACTGTTTTGGTAAATGAGGTGACACACATGCTAGGTGACGAACGTGTGGGGGTGAACCCGTAGGGATTGTGACTTGGTTCGTCCCGTGACAACTATAGAATTGTCTATTTTGATAAACTCTATGTGATATCTATGTGTTTTAGAAATGAACTTGTCAATTTGGGCTGAATGCCATGTTTGGGGCCTTGTGTCGAACTGTTTGGACCCTCAGGGGTATTTTTCTTTACAACCTTCCTCACACTATTTTGATTCGAAAGTGTATCCTCATTCATGCTTTTTACATGTTTATTTTGATTTAGTTTCATTACTCTACTTTTAAATATATGGAAACTGTTTGGGTTGAATTCCCTGATTTTCACTAAAATACCCGAGTGACTGTGAGGTTAATAACTAAGAAAGGTCGAGGACTTGATGGTGAGGATTATATATATTTATGGATCGGGCTGCAAGCCGCAACGATATTTATACATATATGGATTGGGCTGCACACCGCAACGATATGTTGGATCGGGCTGCACGCCGCAGCGATATAGCGCTTGGGCTGAAGGAGCCCCTTCGGAGTTTGCATACCCCTAGTGAGCGTAGTCGAATATATATTACAGATCGGGCTGCACACCACAACGGTTATTATTATAAGATATCTATTGAGCGGGAGTGCTGAGTGAGAGAGTTGGTTGACGAGAGTTGAGTCACGAGTGACTGAGAGGCTGCCCGAGGGGCTATATATATAGGAGCGATGCTTAGCCCAAGGGGCTTGTTTATGAAATTACTGTTTTCACTCTCCTTTATACTGAGCCTCTATTGAAAATGTATTGAACAAATGTTTTAAATAACTTTCATTGAAACTGAAGTTTTACGAGTTGTTTGGAAATTGAACTACAGATTTGACTTTGATTTTTCCATTGAGATTTTATGTTAGATTATGTATATGATTTAAATGTTCGCCACTGCACTTAGACTTTATTTACTTTGGTTACTTACTGAGTTGGCGTACTCACATTACTCCCTGCACCCTGTATGCAGATCTAGGTACCAGAGCATCAGAGTGAGAGCTTTCAGCAGCTTTTGTGTATTTTCGAATATAGCAAGATAGTTGCACGATGTTCGGAGCCCTGCCTTTCTCTTTCCTATCCTTAGTGTTATTTATTTCAGTCTTTTCTTCTTGTATTGAGTAGATAGTACTGAACAATATCTTAGTGGCTCATGACTAGTGACACCAGGACTGGGCGGTGTGGATGTATTTGCGTACATGTTTTATTCCGCGTATTTTGTTAAATTAAATGCAAGATTCGTGTTCATAACTGATTTGGAAATGAATTTACAAAAGACATTTATGTTATTTGTGTTGATTCGGCTTGCCTAGTACTGTGATAGGTACCATCATGACCGGGGTAGTTTGGGGTCATGACAGTTTCATAATTGCTTGAGTCATATTTGCGAGATTAGGTCTTGCGACCTCTATCACTGGTCTTTCATCATTTTCTACTATCTTTTTTGGTTGTGGTTGGACTATGATGCCTAACTCTGCAGTTCTAGCTCTTGCTTCGGCCTTCCTCCTTAAATTATGAAAGAGTTTTTCAAGTTCAGATTCGTAGGGAGGAAGATCGTTTAGGTTGTTACTTCTTTTAGCATTCAATGTAAACACATGTAGAAGGAAAAACAACAGACAAATTAAAACTCGACCAAATAACGATTAAAACATTATTTCAGACAAGTAGCTAATTTCTAAATCCCCAATAACAACGTCAAAAACTTGTTGAGGCCAAACGGACACGCAAATATACGTGGTGGACAAATAATAAATTAATGAGAAAGTATCGTTCCCACAAGGATTTATAGTCAACTATTGTCTAAACTAAACTACTTACGAGTTAATTGTTCAAGCGGTTTTGAAGAAGATGATTGTGATTTTTATTGTCTAAAATTACAACGAAAACTAGAAGCAGTCAAGAGAACAAAAATGCAAGAAGAGCAAACAAATACTTAGGAGCAAACTCAATAAGGATGGAGATATTCCAGGGTTATGGGATTAACGTCTCTCCTATTGCATATTTTTGGTTAATTCAACTACTTGATCTATCTGATTTGTTGATTAACATGGTTTGTTATGCTCGCAAAGTACTTTCAACGCTTTGCTCGCCTATAATTAGCTAACTGTACGTACTTTTTTTTTTCTTCCTTTTCCTCATGCGTCAGGTTAAACATTGTTTCATAGTAAAAAAAAAAAAACTTATAGTTACATGTGCAGCGAATTGATTATGATAGTCATTTTCTAATTAATGTTGTAGGGATCTGTGGATATAAAATGACTGATTTTGTTGAGAGTAGCTTGAAATTTGTAGAAAAGGCAAAACGCCAAATTAAAGCCCATAGATATTTGTCCACATAAGCCCAGATTTGCAGTAAACCCAAAACTTTATCTTGCCATGAGCAGCATTAGCCTTTTGAAACAGAGTGGCCGAAAAGAGCGACGTAAGACCATTTTCTTTTTTCTAAACAAATTAAAAGGCCAAACAAAGAGCTCCTGCTGTACTTGCTATGCTTTTCAGACTCTTCCACGTACACCCTTTGACACGTAGAAATGGTTACACGTGTTCAATTTCTGAGCAACTAAGATATGATCAAGGCTAGGAAATCTCCCTACTTGTACGTGTCTTTGTCGCAATTTCTTCCTCTCTCCAGCTGCTGTAAGTTTTGTTTCATTATCTTTCTTTGTACGTAGTATATTCAAGCTTCAGCACATCCCTTTTTTCCTTTCTATCTTTTTTGTTTAATCCAGTACTCCTTAATTGTAATGGCTATATTTGTTATTTTCTTTTGTAATTTTTATGATTTGATTATAGATTCAGAATTGGAATATGCTCTGTCACTGCGATGTTTAATTTCGTCTTTGTTGTCTTTAATTGAAGCACTAAGTAGAAATATATATCATTGCAGGAAACAAAAGTAACATAGTACATCTTTTTTATCATAGCAAAAGAGGAAATTACAGAAGTCTTCGTGCAAAAAGAGACTCTTGTTTGCCAGTGTTTAATTATCCATCAATAGATTCTGAACTAATATACACCAAAGCACTTGGGACGTATAGTGACTCATCTGCTGCATCAATTCATGTCGTACCAATTTATTTTGTTCCACATGATTTTCTCCTAAGAAGTAAGAAGTATACATAATATCTCAAACATGTTGAAGTGTGATCATCTAATGGTTTAACTAGTGTACTCCTTATTATAAGTAATTACTTGATTATGTTTTATTTGAATTTTTTTCACGATCCATGCAAAAACTTCGTTTTGATCGTACGTGATAGTGAGACTTGAACCCAACTCTGTTACAATAATAAAGTGTGTGATGTGACCATCTTCTAAAAAACATTAAACGGTTATAGATAATATAGTTTTTATTATTTCATCATGTCTCCCGAGAGGAACCTACCCGTAAAGTTAGCTCTAACGGGTTTGAGCCGTGGTCACGGGTTTGAGCAGAAATACAAGGCAAGACTGCGTACGATAGACAAAACCGGACCCCGCGCATAGCGAGAGCTTAGAACCTGTCTTGGTGACATGGGAGCAACTACTTTATCATAGGCCAAGGTCCCCTAGAGAAATGTAGGGTAAGGCTACATAGTACGATATGTTAGGTGTTTGCCATAATTTTCTTACCATATTTGGTTTTCCTATTTGTTGAAGGAAAGTGCAATATAATTACCTTAATTGAGTTTTTCTTTTTTGCAGAAGGAAATTATAATTCTCCTATACTTGGCTAGTACTTTTTCTTGTAGGAAAATGTTTGGAGTTCTATAAATTGGAGATCCGTCCTTCTCATTTAGCAGCATCCACAATGTAGCCATAGGGGCTTGAGAGTAGTGTTTAGGGGGAGAACTTTATGGGACAAGTGTTAGTGTGTCACTTGTGTTTGCCTCTTCGTGAGGTTATTCTCTCGATATTTTGTACTTTTTTTTTATATAATGGATTGCTCATTTTCGCGGTGGACGTAGGTCAGTTGACCAAACCACGTTAAATGTTTGTGTCTCTTTTGATATATTTCTCCTTTGTTGTATGATTTATCGTCGCTCAAGGTTTGCTTTGCTAGCTTCCGTATGACACTTGATTATTTCGGTCCTAACGCGATAGACCCTCGTGGTCCGGCTCTTTCCCGGACCCTGCGAACCCTGCACATAGCGATAGATCTTTCTAAAAAAAGAGTTGAGTGCTGATTTCTGTTTTTTTTTCAGGAGGACAGGTACATTTGATAACAACTTCGTTTTCCATAGGCGGAACTAGAATCTCACAAGGCAATTAAAGGCATAGAGAAATTAAAAATGTCAGGGGTATCATTAGCTGTGGCTCCTCGTTCAGAGCCAGATCATGAGACAACATCTTCCTCAACAAAACCTCAGCAAATTAAGGAACGAAATCCGCAGCAACAAGCTGTGGGTGTAATGGGATCACTTCGAGTAATTGAGCTGCAATTAGTCGCTTTCATTATGGTTTTCTCTGCCAGTGGTTTTGTACCTTTACTTGATCTTATTTTCCCAGCTCTTGCATCTGCATATCTTTTACTCCTTTCACGATTCGCCTTTCCATCTCTAGGCAGAACTTCAACTTCTCAAGAAATATTTCAGGGCACTAAATTTTTTCGTCTTTATATGGTTGCTGGCACTACTGTTGGATTGTTCTTGCCATTGGCATATGTTTTGGGTGGATTTGCGAGGGGAGATGAGCATGCGGTCCACTCTGCCACGCCTCATTTGTTCTTGCTCTCTTTTCAAATTCTAACTGAGAATATTATTAGTGGATTGTCCCTCTTTTCTCCTCCAGTTAGAGCGCTTGTTCCACTTCTTTATACAGTTCGGAGGATCTTTGTCTTAATTGATTGGATACAACATGTGTGGATCAACAAGACTTTGCCCGCCAACGCACATTTCAAGGTAATTCATGCACATTGATTGATTTTATCACCCCGATGTAAGCAGTGGCGGAGCCATGATTCTCGTTCAACATCAACATATATTAGTATATATACGTAATTTAAAAAAAATTAACATTTTAGAGGAGGCTAATTACAAGTAACTTACCCGTTGGAATTTTTCTTTTGCTTTCAGGATGTGGCATGGTATTGGTTTGCGAAGGGGCTGGCAGTGGGTAATCTGGTGTACTTTTCAATCAATCTGTTTGGTTTCTTGATTCCGCAGTTTCTGCCACGGGCTTTCGAGAAGTACTTCAGGGACAGGAATGAGGTTCATGCTAAGTTAGCTGAAGATAAGCAATCCCAAGTTATGAACAGAGCAAAACATACAGATAAAAAGGCAGATTAGCCAAAACGTGCAATGTTTTTGATTTCATTATTATCTGGGTAATAGACTATTTTTATTTCTGTTTTGTGTTGTGTTATATTTTAGTCATGCACGGAAAACGTTTTTGTTTGATGCTCATATGATGTTAATATCGTGATCCGAAGAGAATGTATGAATAATGTTCCAGAGTACTGGAATAAGAGGAACGAAAGAAAAAGGAACTCGCAGTATTTCTTAATGTTAATTTGACAACCACCTTAAAAAGATTCTTGTAAGGTGAAATCGGTTCATATTAAATGCTCGAATGATAGAGCGAATGGAAATCAAGATCGAGGACAACACGGTTGACACCGGGTAGATCCCAAATGGAATATTATCAACAAGAGAAAACGAATACTCTTCATCAATGAAGAATATTTTTCAGTATTAAATAATACGTAGTTGTTAGAGCGAATGGAAATCAAGATCGAGGACAACACGGTTGACACCGGGTAGATCCCAAATGGAATATTATCAACAAGAGAAAACGAATACTCTTCATCAATGAAGAATATTTTTCAGTATTAAATAATACGTAGTTGTTACATAGAATTTTGGTATTTATGACCTGCTGTTATATATTCACCAATAGTTCTCTCATTATTGTCATTTAAGAGGGGTTTGATCCTAGAACCTTATTCCCTATAGCTCCCTATGTATAGCTATAAATAGTGGCTTTAACAATCATTGTAATACACGAAAATTCTGACAAACTTATGTTACACGCTATTTTCAAATTAAAGAATATTTTATTTTTTGTCTAACATTATTTTTATTGCTGCCTTCAGAAGCCTTACTTCCGGAATTAAGCTATCTGCTATTTTATCTCGATTTGAACGTTGTCTTGCATTTTATTTAATTCATTTATCATTTTTGGGATCAAATCGATTCGCTTGTTTATAAACCACACTATAAATTCAATTGTACTGTTTTACGCGTAAACAGTTTGGCACCCACCGGGGACTTAGATAGCTGCGTAATTGAAGTGATTCTTGCATCTATTACTAACGTGTTTGATTCTTTGTTTTATTGCAAAAATCGAAAAAATGGCAGCTAATGATATCACATCAGAATAATGTTGAGGCGCAAGAGAATCTGCTCAACATAAGGATTCGATTGGTAACACTCGCAAAGAGGAGGACGTAGTAACTCTGATCCATGGCGGGCGTTATCCCAATATTTGCGGGAGATAACTCCTGATGACGTTGAGGACGAGCACGTTGTGGAAACAGTTAGGATCTTGAGGGAGCAATAAAAGGCCATCATGGGCCATCTCTCAATGCAAGACCATGCCATGGCGAAACTGAAGCAGACATTGTCAGGCCCCTCCAACAATGCGAATGTAAAAGGCCCTATTCCTCCGGACGCTCCCGTAAATCAAATAGCTCAAAGGGTTGATAACAACACCCTGACGGGAGAAGTTGGCTTCAACGGAATCGGGGGAGGGTCGGCAACAGATCCGATAACAACAACGTCAATGATTCCTTCCAAATCGAGATCATGAAATTCATGAGGGAAACAAACAAGCGGATGGATCAGAACGCGAAAGAATTCCACGTCCGAATGGACCAAATTCCTGACGTACCACCAGTATTGAAGGGGCCAAACTCAAAGAAGTACACACAATTGCCGTTCAAAACGAGCGCAACACCAGAATTGATTACAAAGTTCAAAATGTCCAACGTACCGAAATATGATGAGACTTCAGACAAGCACATCACAACTTATATAACGGCGGTGAAAGGAAACAGCTTGGCTCAACATGAAATTGAGTCTGTCCTGTTGAAGAATTCGGAGAAACCTTCACGAGGGGGGCCTTGACATGGTATTCATTCCTACCCGAGCACTCGTTCGATTCCTTTGAAATGCGCACATATTCTTTCATCAAGGCTCATCTAGGGGCCAGGAAGGTCCATGCCAAGAAGGCGAATATATTCAGAATTTTGCTAGGAGAGTCTGAAATAATGCGCGAGTCAGAATATCTAAGCAGTGACATGATTATCTCTTGAATTAGAAAAATATGCTTCATATCTTTCGACTGTTTGATATCCGTTGTTCATGAGGATCTTTACTGTTGCACTTCCAAGTTTTGTTATTATGTCTGTGTTGTGAGTATCTTGATGCTTATAGCCTAGCCACTAGTTCTTCGAGGTTAGACTTGACACTTACTAGGTACTATCTGTGGTGTACTCATACTATGCGTTTGCACATCTTTTTGTGCAGATCCTCAGGCGGGTTCCAGCGGAACCACTTGTTGAGCCTAGGGGATTACTTAGAGACTTAAGGCGAGCTGCACCTCATGGATTCGTATTGCAGTGCCCATGTCCATATCCTTATTTATCTCCTGTCGATTTTCTTTCTCTCAGACAATTTCGATTATGTATTCAAACTTGTACTTATTCAATAGTTGCTCGTGTACTTGTGTCATGTAATTTTTGGGGTTGTACTGTTTTGGTCATGTTTGGACCATATTATGCTTTTTAAGATTATTCCTGTCTTTATTTATGATATGACTTTGTTAACTAAAGGAATTTGGTTTATATTTTGTTGATTGTAAGTTGGCTTGCCATGTACGACTAGGCGCCATCACGGTCTGAGCTGGAATTTTGGATCGTGACACATTCCATCCCCCTAGTCCAGGCCCGTTAGTCTCGCCCATCCCAATTCCCCACCTTTCCCCGCCCCCATCCCATCCCATCCCATCCTATCTCGTCCCCTCTAACACCCTTAGTTGGGACTGAAGAAGGAGAGTCCGGAACCTAAATATTATTTTTTTGGACTCAAATTACCTTAATAGGTGTTTAAAAAAAATACATTTCTATATATAGCGTGCAAATACAAGACGTTATACATTAACGGTAACGTCTGCCGTTAAGTTATAGCGTCTTGTATTCATACACTATACATATAGCACCAAAAAAAAAATGCTATACCCTGAATATGGACTCACCAATAAGTGAACTGGCAAACACAATAATTTAAATGTGTATAGCGTATATTTAAAGAACGCTATACGGCAAAAAATTTCCATATCCCGGGCTAGCCATTTCTTATATAAATTGGTTAGGATTTTAGGAAAATTCGTTCACATAAAATTCTAAGTCCCGTTCAATTTTTTCTTGTTGTTAAATTCTGAAGCATTTTTATCGTAATGTCTGAAGAGCGTAAAATAAGAGTTTCACTATATTGGGAGGGGGGTGAGGTTGTGATGGAGAATAACTCTGTGAGGTATAGTTTATCTCCACAGGGTCATGTTAAATTACCACTTACAATAGAGTACGATAAATTGATGTCGTTGTTATGCAAAAAAATGGGTGTGAGGAAACGTTCAGTGACACTTAAAGTAACCGAAAGATATCCGTATTCCGTCACTCCGCAAGGGGCTGCTTTTTACTCGGAGTTAAACATCTACGATGATGAAACTTTGAGGGATTTTCTGAGGACTCCGAATGAATAGCGGGAATATCTTGTAATAAATATGTTGGATATGTACGTCAAAGTCGAAGACGTTCCAAACAATGAGGTTGTCGGACAGGTTCCGGATAACCCCCAGTCATCGGGTGGCTATAATGGTATATATAACAACCTACCATTATAAAAAATACTTAAACTACAAGGATTCTACGCTAAAATACTATACAGTTTACTACGCTAAAAGTTTCTACATTTTACTACGCTAATAAATAAACTAAATATAAACAACAAATACATTTTAATCACATAACATTAACAAAAATACATATAACATACTAATTTCGCAAATAAAACACAAAACGACATGGAAACACTAATATCTAAATTCGGATATTAACATAAAAAATTAAATCTTAATTTTACATTTTTTTAGAACACTAATATCTAAGTCCGGATAAATATAACATACTAGTTTCGCAAATAAAACACAAAACGACATGGAAACACATTCAATAGGTAGTGATATACATTATTATACAAGTTTGGAGATAAAATAAATCGAAATACCTTGATGTAGTAAGTGTTTTGTGTGAAAATTTGAAGACGAAGGACTTAAACCACAATAATACAATGCTCTACTACGATGTGGGATCTACGTTCTTAACCTTTTGTGTGACGGGAGAGGCCCAATTTTTTTTTTTAAGAACGGGCACTGGGGGGGACCAGAAACAGTGGGATTTAAAAAAAAATGGGGAAAAGGGTGGTCGGGGAAGACGACGAAGGGCAGTATTTAAATGGGGGTATAGCGTATGAAAAGAAAACGCTATATATAACGTACAATAACAAGACACTATATATGGCAGTCAAATTGTCAGGCCATATAGCGTGCAATTACAACACGCTATACCTTAACGGCAAAAGTTACCGTTAAGGTATAGCGTATTGTAATTGCACGCTATATATAGATATATTTTTTTTTACTATTAACGTAATTTGAGTAAAAAATATAATATTTAGGTTCCGGACTCCGAAGAAGAAGATAAAAGCTTGCATAAGTAAAACCAGTGAACCACTTATTTGGAACAAACATAATGATCTATGAAGTATACAAATATTTTGACTCCAACAGTTTTGCTAGCAACATCCAAGTAGTTGTGATCTGCCATAAGAGAAGTAAAACATAATCTTCAGCAACTTCCACAAAGCTATTCGCCAACCCACATCTTGAATTAGTGGTCCAAAATCATACTAGCATAACTACTGAATTCCAGAAAATATATTTAGAACAAAGAGAATATTTAGTCGCATAAGTTCATGTATTTTGCCAAGTTTTTCCCTATGAACGAGTAGACACTAGTACTAAGACGTTCGGTGCAGTTTTAATTCAAGTGCAAACCAAAATATAGCAAAGTCCACCGTCTAGATTAAGAAAAGCTTGATATGAAGACAGATGTAAATGCCACTTCAAAAGGGGGTAAATGATTAGTCACCCAGCAAGAATAAACAGAAAGCAGGGAAAATTGCAATTAAAGAGTAACCGAATACTAGAAAGTAGGCAAGTCCTACCTAGTGGCTAGCGACTCCATAGTTGATCAGAAAAGTTTATTCTACTGTCACACTCAGCATTATAGATAGCAGAAATTCATGTGTCACATTTCATATGATTTGCCCCTTTTTAAGCAAAA